TCGTGATATGCTGCTTGTAACAGTTGATCACATCTGCCATATATTAACTCACATTTTTAATTTTTCATTGTCTTCTAGCTCATTTCCCGCGGCTTGGAAGTTAGCACATGTTATCCCCTTACCTAAATCTCCCAATCCTATTGTTCCCTCACAGTTTCGTCCTATCTCAATTCTTCCCATTTTGTCGAAAGTTTTTGAAGGCTTAGTATCTAAGCAGATGTGTCAGTACTTATTAGAAATAACCTATTAAATGCTTTTCAGTTCTGGCTTCGTCCTTCGCACAGTACGACTTCCGCTTTGCTAAAAGTCACTGACGATATTCGTTTCGCCATGGATAATAAGAAAGTGACTATTCTTATTTTGCTTGATTTTAGTAATGCCTTCAACTCAGTGGACTTTGATGCTTTTACTTTCTATCCTTGCCTCCCTTAACTTCTCGTCTTCTGTGATTGATTGGTTTAAATCATATCTTTATGATCGCCAGCAGAGAATCTACTGCGACGAGACTATCTCAGAGTGGTCCAATCTCTTCGCAGGCGTCCCCCAGGGTGGTGTGTTATCGCCATTGCTTTTTTCAATTTTTATTAACCAACTCCCACAGGTACTCTCTTCTAACTACCACCTATATGCGGATGATCTGCAACTTTATAGACATGCTTTGGTCGGGGACTTAGCGTCTGAAATAGACAGGATAAACCCTCGATTTTGGCAAGAATCAAAGATTGGGCAAAGTCCTTCGGACTCCTTGTCATCCAATAAAGTCTCAGGCCATGATCATTGGTAGTAAGCAGTTGCGGAACAAAATCGACTTCAACAATCTGCCTGACATCATCTACGATAACACTTGCATCAATATCTCAGGACACGTGTAAAACTTAGGTTTAACAATCGACTGCAACCTGTCCTGGGCTGCGCATGTCAACGAGGTCAGTAAGCGCGTACATTATTCACTTCATTCCTTGAGACGTTTACAGAATTTTCTTCCGTTTCAAACTAAAATTACCCTAGCTCAATCACTGCTAATCCCTCTACTCGAATATGCCGACGTCTGCTATCTTGATGCAACCGAGGAGCTACTCGACAAGCTAGATCGCCTTCAGAATTTGTGCATCCGTTTTATATTTGGATTGCACAAATTTGATCATATAAGTATTTTCCGACGGCAACTGAAGTGGCTCCCCATTCGTTTTCGCCGAAACGTTCGTGTATTATGTGTGCTTTACAATATTTTGAAGACTTCTACACCTTCTTATTTTAAGTGAACGCTTCACATTAGTGTCCCCTAGATGCAGACCAGTGCGTTCTTGTGTCAATTTGCCCAAACTAGTGGTTCCTCACTACAATACTACATTCTATAAAAAATCTTTTTCTGTTACGGCAGCAAGTTTGTGGAATTCACTGCCTGATTATATTTTCAAAGATGATCCCTCATTCTCAACATTTAAGTTTAGAATTAAACAATACTATTTATCAAATCAGACATAAATTATTGTAGATTAGTATGTATTTATATGTAAGTATATATGTTTGTTTGTATGTATGTATGTATGTATATATGTATGTATTTATATATGTATGTGAATATATATATATATATATATTTGTATAATCATAATATTTAGTTAATATATGTATTTTAATAATAAGACAATTCCATTCAATGCTGTACTGTACCTACACCGCACTATATTAACTTATTTTCTCACTTCTGAAGGGTTTCTGGAAGAAATCTCTTAAAGAGATAAGTTATCCTTTGTCAACATTTTGTTATTTTATTTTGTATAACGTATATTTTATGGTACATAAATAAATAAATAAAAATAAATAAATAAATAAGGTTATATAGTATTATGTATCTTTTATTATTAAGGTGAAATGGTCTCAAAATAGTCCTCTTTATCCTCTTTATATGTTATATTACTAGTTTTATTTGCGGCTCTGGTCGTGTGGAATGGTGTTCGAAGAGGACTCTAAAGGTGTTAAATATCTAGATTTGTTATTAATTTTGTTCAACGATTTTTTATACGAGCATACTAGAATCAAATATAGAACCTACCATTTTTTCATGCTTCTAATGAAGGAAACGGTCAAATATTTAGTATACATTTAAAAACCATACACACATACTCAAATATAGGTTCATACATCAATGTATTCGCTAGACGGCGCGTCCTCGGTACGTATAATTTAGGCGCGAACGCGACTCCGCCATTGCTCTTATTTGCGACGCTTTCACACGGTGAATGTGTCGCGCCGGCGTCCATTAGGTGCCTATTATATGCTACCATGCTTATTTTTTTACTATTGCTTTACATAGCTGAAAGATCGGTGCTCGGAACGTTTTGGCTTCGAGGTTTGGTTTTAAGAAGTGGTATATATATCTAGAGTTAAGTTATGTTGTATAGTCTATGTATAGTATATCAAAATTAAAAATAGAGGTATAGGAACAATTAAAATAGACCACAGATTACATTATTTTAAGGTTTCTTTTCTGTAGGACACTTGAATATCCTTACGCTACGCATAATAATATTCCTCACAACACATAATATTGGTAGACTATATTGCGTCTGTTGACGCAATTTTAGCCACTAAAGAAGAAAAAAAATGACTATTATTACAATTTCATATTTAATTTCTAATGGAAGTAAACAGAAAGTTGTAGCAGTAAATTTTCTTTCTTTAATAAATCACTTACTATTAGATTCGTTAATATATTTTAAAATATCAGTATTACTTCATTTATACAGAATATGGTGAAACTACAATATGTTTGAGGCTTTTAATGATGTCATTCTCATTAAATTTATAAATAACCTCTTACTTTACTCTGTACAGTATTATTTATATAAAACCCGAATTGCGAATTCAGATATTATATATATACTAGTATGTATATATAAATAGTACCTACAGCGCCATAACGAAGGTAGCACAGATCGCGCCCCACGTCGGGCGCCATCCAACAATGGCACCTAATGGCGACGCCTCGTTACGCACTCGCAGAGAGCATAATTATAAATGAGAGCTAGAGTGGGGACTATCTGAATTATCACGTGCCTTTTAAAGATTAACTAGGCGCTGCGAAAGCTGACGTGTAACTGCTAGTTTTGTGTGGATAGTGTCACATTACTGCGGCTTTATTCAGCATTCACGAATGCTCGACTCTCACGCGAATATTCGAAAGAAGCTATCAAATTATGATAATTACATCAACTTAAAGATATTATTTATAAATTTTAATATTATGTTTCAGTACATTATAACGAGTTTCGTGATACTGCATCTATTAAAATTACATAATTATGTAGAGTGCTTTTAATTTATGTGTCTACAAAACAAGCTTTTTGGTTTGCAAAAGACTTTAGACTTGCCAAATAAATGTCTAAACATACAAAAGCTAAAATTAATATGGATTAGTGTTTGAAATACTCTGAGTTCTCAAGAGATTTTGCGGCTATTAGATCAACAAGAAATCGTCTGCCCTATACGTAGAAGTATGAAAATTTGTAAGAAATCACTCGATATACGCACTACTTGGCCCCGTACTTGTTTTATTTTAACCGGTTCACAACCGTACTCGGTGCGCCGTTAAGACGGCATAAGTGTTTGAGAACGCTTTGTTTGTGGTAGTGCTAAGCTTAAAGCTATCGGTTGAGTCGCGGGTCTATCGCGGAAAATCCTTTTAGATCCAAAACTTTGTACAGACCTCGCCCACTCCCGCCTCTTTAGAATAAGCTGTTTCAAACGTTGATATAAAATTACTGGAAACAGCATCAGCAGCCACAGTCTGAAATTACCATTGATTTTTTATTATTTTTAACACAAATTTGGAATGAATATGTATATTCACTCGTATATATATAAGACATTATTTATGTAATTGTTTTACGATTATTTACTTATTTTTAATATCGTCGTTAGGTACATATTCTCAGAATAAATTCTTACCATTTTTTTAAGTTCACTCCACATCATCCGCGAAACTTTTAAACACCTTAAATAAATCCTTTGTGCTATACATATAAATTAAAACTAAAGTATCTCTTTATATCTCTACAAGAAACCTTTCACCTCGAACAAGCTATCTGCCAAAGTATAAAGACGCTTCACACACTTCTAGATCCGCGCGTAAGATATCGCACAAAGCGAACGATTAAACACTCGTCGACGTTTCACACGGGCACGATTTGCAAGCGGTTTTAAGCTGTCGAGTGCTGCGTCGTTTTGTGTTAAGAGCTAGATGCCTTATATTTAGTAAAAAGTCAAACTTAGCGCGTGGATGTGGCTATTCATGACAGTTACTTAATAAGATGTAAGTGACCAGCTTTGAACGAACCGTACGTGTAGTATTTCTTTTAATGATTTTGATGACGTTGTAATTCAAATGGCGCTCTTTCATAAATATTTTTATATTAAACTAGTTAATGCAATCATATTAGCAAATGTTATATCAAACTGTGTGTAGTTTGTATTTTTTCTTACTCTACAAATGGAATATGGTGATATTTTTACTTTGTTAGTTTTAAGATAATGCGTGTTAGGTGACAATTTTATACGAGACAATACGATACCGATATCCAGCACCTCCTGGGTTCGAGTCCCGGGTTGAGTTAAAATAGTTGCTGGTCTTTTCTGTCACGATATACTCAGTAGCAGCCTGGAGTTGGGAAGCCGGTGTTTTGTAAAGTGTAGATACCCCGTGCATCTGTGTATTATGTTCTTCTTCTTCTCTGTGGATGTGGAGCTTAGTATTATTTATTTGAGAGTCCACAAATTCAACAATAATTTGTTATTGTCTTTCGTGAATTCATCTGGACGCCTTGCACAGTGTCAACTGTCAGTACGCCACATCAAGCGTTTTAACAGAGACCAGTGTAAGAAGTTTTTACAATGAATATTCTTCGAATATAATATTTTTAATTAATATAAAATGATATTTGAAAACATAAAAAAGGAGGAATAAAAGCATATTTTACAAAATATTGAAATTGTTTCAGATCGTTCGCAATCGCAATCACAGTCTTTTGGACCACGGCGTGGCGGTTACGTGCCCAATCAACAATACAACCAAGGGTACGACCAATCGGGATACCAGTCAGGGTCAAACCAAGGCAGATACGGTCACAACCAGGATAGACACGGCTCTAGCCACGATAGATACAGTGGCTCGAACCAAGGTTACAGGCAAAACCAAGGCCACAGATACCAAAATCCAAACCAAGGCTATTCCTCGAACCAGCAGGGACACCACAGACAGAATAACACATCACGAGATGGTCAGAGAAATCACAACGGTCCGCGACCGTCTGGTCCGAGTAGGTACCAAGGTAACTCGACATGGCGTTGATTTTCAACGTTTGCAAAGTTGGTATATTAATAAGTTTAAAAAGACGAAAGACTGGTGAAAGTCTGCAAACGTTCGGTTCGTATGGGGACGTGGAGTGTAATGACGTATCATTTGGATAGGGTTAGATAGTTGAATATGTTATTTTTTTAGTTTAATTACCTTTTAGCCGTGTTAGTGTTAGAACGCAATCACTTATTGCCTTTTGTGTAGAATATTTTTCTTATTATGTACATATTATTTCGAACGACTTAAACATTTATCCTCGAATTCAAATTCACCACCACTACATTTTATATATTTATCTATATAAAATAAATAAAAATGCGAATGTTAGTTTGTGCAAAACCGTATATTTATTCCAGATCACTTTGACACATATGTATAAATATTATTCAGTAAAAAAAAGGTTTTAGAAGATGTTGCAGTGCATCAATTTCTACGACGTTCAACCTACCGCCAGGAACTTTCCTGATACTCATGGGTCTTTACTTATTTACTGTACAGTTATACAGAATATATTTAGTAACAGTACAGAGTACACTCTGATCTGGATGACCGCGAGCAAAGCCGCGGGTAAAAGCTAGTATATATTTAAAAACCAATGCAATATTCCATATGTTATTGGTGTCAGTCTTATATTACATTATTTCTATTTCAATATTAATATTTAGTTTGTTGTGTATTGGTGATAATTCAAGTACGTAAAATCATATTGAGAAAAGAAATTGAATTATAATATAGTAGATAATTAATAATAAAAATAAGTAGATTAAATAATAATAAATCAGCCCTTTTAACGTCCCACTGCTGGGCGAGGCCGGAGTCAATACGAGGGCGTTCACGCTGTAGATGCCACGCTGGCTAAATGTTGGCGATCTTCTCTTTCGAAAACTATATAGATTCTCTCAGACATGCAGGTGTTTTAAATAAGACTATCTTTTCGGTTTTTTTCGCAAATTTATTTTGATTCTTGGTTCCCGACGTTTCGAAATATCGAAAATATATAAAAATGTATAAAAATATAATAAAATCATATAAAAATGTTTAAAGTTGAAAGTTAAAATATTGTAAGGTACTTTAGTGCCATTTTTCAATTTTTGAATTCATTTTGTTATTTGTAGGTAGGCTGTCTGTAACAACTATATAATACCTTAGAGACATCTAACACCTCAGTCCCTCCCGTGGCCATGATTGCTGTAAAGCATTCGAAACGTCGGGAACCAAAAATCAAAATAAATTCGTGAAAAAATCCGAAAAGATAGTTTTATTTAAAATGTCAAGTATTCGCGTAAATCTAAGAAAGTATTATGCAGGTGTTTTTTAATGTTTTTCTTCACCGTAAGAGGAACGAGAGCCAGGTTTGAACCCACTTTACTCAGTTTACCAAGCAAACGAGTAATCACTGCTAGAATCACCTTAATTAAGTAGATTTAAAGAAAATATAGAATTTTAACTTATAATTTTTAAAATCTTTTCTAATGCATTTTTATCTAACTCGATATAGTAATATTTACATTAGGATTATAATACATAGGTCTTATAAAATATCGCCGTCAGTGAAACACACTTATATATGTACTAGCGGACCCGACAGACGTTGTCCTGTTTACACGTCTTTAATTTGAAAATTTCAAACTTTTTTTAATAATTTTTTTGATGAAAATTATTATTCAAATTGTAAATCTAAACCATTCCCAGATCCCCTTGAACACACACAAAAAATTTCATCAAAATCGGTCCAGTCGTTTTAGAGAAGTTCAGTGACATACACACTCACAGAAGAATTATATATATAAAGATGAATATGTGTAACGCATCTCCTCTTCGCTTTAATATGTTAGTGCACATTTTTAAATGAATACAACAACAATATATGAACAATATTTACCTGTCACTTTTTAAGTTTATAATTTAAAATAAAATATGTTTTTTAATAAATTTTCTTAAGAAGTCTAAAAAATTTTCTCTAAAAGATATGACCAATTAAGAAAATGATCAAGTAACTAAAATTAAAAAAAGGTCCTAGTTGGTCATTTTCTAACATTAGAATGTTATTTATACATGTGAGGAATAATTTTTTATTATAGATTTTTTTATTCTTTATAGTTATTGTTTTTTTTTACAATTTATTAAATACTAAGGTATAATATTGTTCTTTGCCTTGCGGCCATCATTATACAACATATCTATGATTTTTTACCTATCAGAGAGAAAGAAAATTGATAGAAGCTCTAAAATTAAACATTATTGTACCTTATTCATGTTTGGTACAAAAATTTGGTGGATTAAATGTATGTTTTAATAAGAACCTCTGTGCAATTTAAATGTACTCTATACTAAGACATTTCTTTGGCAGTTTACTCATTTTCAGTTGTTACTTGACTGAGGCATTAAATAAGTTAACAATGTATGTATGTGCGTCACATACTAAACTTTTTATTTGATAATTATAATTAATATGAATAAGTTAATTTTACATATCTATATTTCATTTGATATGTTTTTGGAAGTCCTTGGGTTGTATTTTTTTTGTCAAAGTAAATGTCGATCAAAAAAGTACTAGATACACAATCAGCAACAAAAATGTCTTCACCGAATGAGCGCTCATTTGAACATTTGAGCGCGCTTTTTTTGTGATAACAACCTTACGCTTTGTATTTAAGGTTCAATTTACATTGTTGTATATTTATTTCAACTAGAATAAATTACCTTAACACAATTGGTGACCGTTCTAAGAGAACTTTTGCATGGGATTCTGTATCTAGTACTTTTTAGAACTATGTAAGTAAAAAAAATCATTTTCTGTATCATCTGTCTCGAAAAATATGTATTAAATTAGTCAATTCATTTGAGATACTGCTTATTACATTTTTGTGCATATAATGTTTTTTTTTAAATAATTCATTGCAAGCGTACAAATAAATGATTTAGAATTGTACAGTATTTTTTCTTTTTTGTTCCTAACTCCCAATACCATAAAGACGAAAAAAATCATAGGATGAAGTACAATAAAGGAAGATTAAAATTGCTAATTTCATCAACTTATTGAAATAAATTCTATATAAAAATCTTGGGATTCGTATTTAAATTAAGAAAGTCAAAATGTAACAGACTTAGTGTATTATATTATTTGTGTTCCCTCTGAGAATCGAGTCTACGGCTGTAGGCGTAATTTATGAGCTGGCACTAGAACATGAAGCTCTACTACCGAGCACAATATTAAAGAAATCGCAGTAAAACTACTATTAAGCTCATTGAATCAAGTGAATCTATATAATATAGGTAAATGCGAGTATGCCTGAATGTACGTTTGATTTTAATAATATTTAGTAATTAATTTGAAAATATAACAATGTATAACATAAGATAATATTAGAGTGGTCAACTAATGAAGTAGACTAGTACTAAAAGAAAAACAGTCTTCTAGGTAAATATTTTCTTAGATTTTCAGCTTAAATAAAGAAATATGCATCCTTTAAAAGTTAAAAAAAAATATGGTGCCCATCGCTTTAAGAAATTCTTCCTATTATATGAACTTTCCACTCAAAACATACTCGCGCAGCGTCCAGTCGAGCTTTCTTCGCAAAAAAGCACAATACGTCATTAGACTGATTGTCAAATAGTACAGATCTTAACTCTTTCGAGCAATAGTGACACAAAGTCAAAAATACACTTCAACTTGATGCTGGCAATTGGCGAAATAATCTAACTTTTTCACCGAGTCCAAAAATGGGAGGAACTTAATTTGTTTGTAAAATGTATGTATGTTTATTACGCAATATCTTCGCCAATATTGCAAGTATTTCCATAATTATTTATTTAATATATAAATCACTAGCGGTGGCTCCGCACGCGTAGTTCAATTATGTATTATGTAATACTTTATTTAATATATATTATGTGTTAACAAGTAGGTACTCAACATGTTTCTTTTAAGTCGGTCAAGAAGAAGTCATCGATTATAGGCTAAAGTGGAGTAAAAATTTTTTGTATGAAATAAATAATATTATTTGTTAAAGAAATTGAGCATATTTATTATTATTAGGGAAGGGGAAAAAAAACTTTTAGCTTGGGGTTACAATTTGTAGCTTATAAAAAAACAAATTATTTAAAAAGGAAAAAATACTCAACATTTTGAGGTAGCCTATTTTGCCCACTGTTTATTTAAAAAAAATATTTTGTATGATCATAAGCACAGTATCAAATTAAAAAAAAACCTGGTGAACGCCAGGTCAGCCAGGCATTAGGATACGTATTTGGTGGCTAATTTAATATTTAATAAGATTCCTAGTAATAGGAATTCCGCTAGTTAGGATATAAGAACACATGTAACCGCCGCAACGATTTTCAATATCGCGGACAAAGCGGCTGAAGTGGCGATTGTGTGCGATCAATAGTTTTTTAATTTCTTTTTTCTCCACACAATCGAAGGTACGAATTGAGATGAAAGGAATTAGGGGCCAGGCTGGAGGCCACTCGAACATGAATGAGGTACTAACTTAAATGATTTTTAAGGTTTTTTGTCCAGGTAAGCGTAATGGGCCGTTATTAATTTCGAGGTAGTTTGCTACTGATTTTGTTTTGAGATTTTTAAATGTAATTTTTTGTGAGAAATATATTGTAATTACTTTTTTGCGCATTACTTTGCGTTGAAGTTATATTTATAGTATTTGAGGTTTTTTTTTATTATTTTGAAGTTATACTTCTTTTGGCGCGTTTGGAAAAAATTATGAGAGTAAAGTTTTTGCGATGCGCGCGCACACCGACAGCCAAAATGCGACATGAAGTTAGCTGTATTCCTTTTACGAACAGAGAGTTGTGACATACTGGATGAAATCTTTAGCTATTTTTGTTCTATTAATAAGTATAAGTACACACACATATATATCTTTTTGTTAAAGTTTTCCCATTTAGAAAGAGGAGGTTGATTTGATGCCAAATTGAGAGAATATTATAAATATATATGTCAAGGACACTGTATCGACATACCTACTTACATACACTTACTGGGATATGATAAAGAATGTACTAAAATGCCCAGAAAATTCAAATTCCATATGTCTTTGTGGTAATTCTCATATTATAATAAAATTATCTATTTAATTCGGACGACCGTAGAAAATAAACTTAAATCTTAATAGGACAGTGGAAAGTGGAAGGAACAATCTTAGTGAAAATGGTAGATTTTCATTTATTTTGACCGACTTCGAAAAGTGCCGGTGTTTTTTTATGGGTATGTGTGCTACGCGATAGATCGTCAATGATGAAGCTATTTTTATGAATGCTTTTTTGATGAATAAGTTTATTTTAAGAGTGGTCCCATGTAAATTAAAACCTCGAGTAATAGAATAATTATTTTAGATTTTTTTTAAAGGTTATGTAGGTTTAGCTTACAAATAATAAGATATTATTAGATATTTTTTGATTTTTTTTGCAATAAGAATAGAAAAATAGATTTGTTTTATTAAC